TTTATTAAACTGATCATAACAATTATCGAGGAAAGAAGAAATGAGTGGATTTAATATATATGTTACTTTTAAAATTAAAATCGTATAACTAATAATAGATAATAATTGAACTAATTAAATTGTCATTCCTATTATTCATCACATCTTTTAATTATTTTAATTTCTTAAAAATTTATGTTTCATATTTTCCGTTCATATGTGGAACAGTTGTCATGGGAACTGCATTACATATTTCATAGATATTATCTATTATTCAATATTATCTATAGTGAATATTATTTCGAAATATACGTACACATACAAAGCATACACGTACATATAAACATACCTCTCTCACGTAATTAAATTATGATAATTATTATAGCCATCGCTTTTTTTCTATTTTCCAAGTATATTATCAAAAGTTATAATATTGCAATCAGTTACTTAAAAAGTCAAAATTAATTCTATTAGTTACTTTCTTTTTAATCATTCATAATGACAGTAAGTGAAAAGAGAAAAAGCAAAAAAAGAAAAAAAAGATTAATAAATCAATTTGAATTAGATGAAATATGTGAATAAAATATATCCAAATTTTCTTTTAATTGCTAGTAAAGTATAATATAATATATATATATATAAGTGTATGACGTAATTTTTTTCTCATTTTCTTTTCATATTATTATTCTTAGCATTGATTTTTTTGTTGCCGAAAATATTTTTTTCGGAAGAGCAAACTTTAATTTGAATAAAAAGACAGCACAAAACTTTTTCTTCGTTATTCTTTCCTTTTCTTTCTTTTTTCCATTCTTCTTGCACATCCTCCTTTTTATCATTCCTCATTTTACGTTCCACTCACTGCTAATATTCTTTTTCCTTTCCATTTTTTTTTTGCTTCTTCAACTGTTCAAAAACTTTGCAATGGAATCACTTCATTTTGTTCTTCTATTATCTTTCTCTCTTTCTTCTTCTCACCTTTTTTTTTCATCAAATTTAATCTTGTTCTAAATTGATTTTTTTTTTAATTTTACAACAGAAATTTGGACATAAGAAAGCAAAAAAAAAGAAAACAAACCAATTTTTCGATACTTAATGTGATGTTTTAAAATAAATTACAAAAAGGACTAAGTAATTATAAAATAGTTTTGATATTTCAACAGGAATTGCGAAAAGGTCTCATTAATTATAAAATAATTTGATATATTGAAAGGAATTGTATAAAGGCCTCAGCAATTGTCAAACAGCTTGATATTTTAAGCATTCTTTTCCCCTTCTTTTTCAAACGACAATGAAATTTTCAATATATCTATCAATTCACTTAAGACATGAATGAAATTTGAGAAAAAGTGGATAAAATGAGGAGAATTTTTGTAAAAAGAAAAGAACAGAGAAATTTTTAACACTTTACTAAACAATCTCCCTTATTTTCCTTCCTGTTCAATTGATTTAATTTTGTTGTTATCCACAAAGTCTTAGACTGAATGCAAAAGTAAAAATAAATTATTGAAATTAAATGGCAGCAAGAGAAAAAATAAAAAAATAAATTGATTGAATTAAATGGCAGCAAGAAATCATTGTGGACAATGGAAAAAAAATGAGTGACGAAGAATTATTAATTAGACAAAAAGAAAAAAAGAGGCGAAAAAGGAGGAAGAGAAAAATGAATAGGGGTGGGAAAATGAGAAAATGAAATGAAAATTGACGTTGAATCTAACTATTCACGAATATTTTTTAAAAATCAATTTTCAAACTTTTAAAACTAATGAAAAAAATGAAGTTGTTCTCTTTCTTCGATATAATTAGTTTCAATTCCTGTATTGTTCTCTGTAGCAAAAAAAAGAAATTATTAATTCTAAAAATAGGGGAAAAAGAAAAAAGAAAGATATATTCTTATTAATAATGAATATTATATTCAGGCATATTGATATTTAATAATTCCTTTTAAATATTCAAAATTTTTTTGAAAATTTGAAACCGGGTTGTTGATTTTCACATAAACTGCTACTTCAGATTTGTTCTTTTATCAATTTTTCAATATATGGCATGTAGGTTTATTTGTACTTGCTTTGTTTTTTTTTCCTTGCAATTTCAAAATTAAGAAAATGTTTTATTAATTGTAACTTGCATTTTATGATTTTTAATGGATTGTAATATATTGATATGTCATTTGAAAAAGTACATCGATGTTTATAAATAGAAATTATCGATTAAATAATTACATTTATAATAATTTACCGGAAGCTATTGGTGCAATACGGGCAAATGTTAACACAGGTCCAGCACCCGAAACATAGCCTAAATTGATAAGTAAATTTGCTGCAGGTAATGTAAATAGAAAAAATACCAATGGCCAGGTAATTAATGATTGTGATAACAATTGCGCATATGGTGCGCCGGCCAATGTCGCAATACTGTATGCATCGATTGCATCAGATGACATATACATTGTAACTGCAATAGTGGTGATTGAAGCAGTTGTAAGTGTAGTAGCAGTAGTAAATTACAGTAAATCGGTATATTCCTTATTTATCGTAATTATTTAACTGAAAATCACGATTTTTCTTTTTGTTATGAATGACAGTCAGATTAAATAGTGATAATAGCAATATTAAAAATAGCCAGCTGCCAAATTAATAGTACTTCCTTGTTAGGCATTCAAAAAATGAGATAAAATTTTGGACTGATGTACATCATAAATAGGAATAAATTCGAATCATTAAAGATTGACAGAGAAAATGGTTAAAATGTTAAATGTAATTGTTATTCGATGGCTATAGCAATAGTAATAATAGTAACAGTGATAATCAATGAATATGACCTGAAATCGATGTAATTGCATAATTCGTTACGA